TAAATGTTTAATAAATTGATTGTAACTTTAAATTTTTTTGCAGTACGATTTTTTAATGATTCTGTGTTCACTTATGTCAATTCTTGCAGTTTTCCATTATCTTTATGTAACATCCTATCAAAGTTCTTAGGGCATTTACATGTGCTGCAAATTTTTCTATCAAAATAATGTTTTTTCCAAACTTGAAAAAAATGAAGAAAATTGAGAAATACTTATTCCTCAGCTTTGACCGAATAGTATCAATTCACTTCAGCCAAGGGCTCCTCTTTATATCCCAGAAATTCGGCAGTTGAGTTAGAAAAAACCGTCAATATTTTTTGGACCCATTCGGAAGATAGAAATGTTAGCAAAACACTAGGAATATTTTTAAAATATCTTTTTGTTTTCTCATTCATTTTTTCATTTTTTGATAATAGTAATCTGTAAACTAGCTTATAAAGTAAATTCACAAAGGAAAATTTTGAAATCTCATTCAATATAACTTTTATTTATTTATTGATTCCAGGTCCAGCCGTAGTCAGTCCCTCAATACATAATATACGACCGGGTCAAACCTATGTCACCGTACAAACCCTTACCAAAGAAAATCTTGTGATTGTCGTCAATGTAAGTTTCTAAATCTGCATAGCAGACTGTTGTTGGCAAAAAATCGATATATCGATTGATTTGTAGCAAAAGACCAAGGTTCATGATGTATTGTGGAAATGTGGTGAGATACTGGAGATCACCGAAGACAAACTGTTTGGACTTGCATTGCGTCAACCGACGGAGGGAATAGGTAATTTTCAAAATTTTTCTAAGCTTTTTCGGTACTTTTGATCTTTTTCTTTCTGTTGTTTGTGCAAAGATGGTAATTTCTTCTAACTTTTTAGTGTAATTTCAAGGATTTGTGAGATTTCTGTTCGATAATAGCGGCTGAAGAAGTCAGAACTGAAGTGATTGCAGACAAAAACGTAAAGAAATGACCTTGGAGGTTTAAGGTTTTTAAAGAGAAACTCGCGAACTGATAGCGAACCCGATGCTGACAGTTCGGAATTTGGCGATTTCGTTATAAAGACACCAAACTTTCTACTTTTTTGGCGCTAATGACTGATAAGTGTGGCATTTGCCTTCTTAGGTGGTTAACAACTCTATAAGAAGCAATTCTCTGATTTTTTGCGCGTTTTGCAAGCAGAAACTCTGTCTTTATGGATTTTTGATGGTGAATTTCAGTGCAATGAATTCGAGACATAAAACTCCGATCAACTTTTATTACAGTCTGATTTGTTCGCTTTATATTTACTTGTTTTATAATCTTGAGTAAAAGAAGTTTCAGTTGATTTGGGACCAATTTTTTCTGGGTATGAGTGGATTTGTTTTTGACGAAAAATTACTTTCAACATTGTTGTTTTTAGTCCTGCCTCTCTCCGTCGTTGTATTCTTGGTTTCTAATGCTTTTTACGGATTACATGAACTACTGAATTAACAACATTTTATTGAAATCATTGTCATTCTTGATAACTTTCTATATATTTTTCCTTTAGGAGGAGATCAACCACGGCACGAGTATTTTTTTCTCGATCCGGCGCAGAAGATCGTCAAATATGCGCCGAAGCAGCCTCGGTTCTCGAACTGGGTAAGTCATCAGTCTTCTAACTATTTACCCTTTTTGATAAAGTTAATCGTGCCCTCATTCATCTTTTTTTATTTGTGATCCACGCATCTGACTAATATTTAGTCGAGATCGTTTAGTCATTCAGTCGTTCATTTCCTTTACTTGTTTATCCCTCTTCTGAATGGAACGTTATTGACCATTTTTTCGTAATCATTTACATGAATCTCACATAATTTCATTCACTAATTGATTTGATGTTCAAAAAATAATTCATGATTGACACTCCATCACTATAATCCCAGATACTTCAATTCTTTCTCCGAATCATTCTATTCCTTCTTTACTTACTTATCTACACGATGACCTATTTGTTGATTTATTAGATTCATTTTCGTCTCATTTGACCGTTTCTTTTCCATTGAAATCATTTCATTCTTTACCTGTTTTTTCACAAATGTCACTTTATTCAGTTCATCACTTCCTTCTCATTTTAGTACATTTTCATCCAATCGTTCATTCATTCATTCATTCATTCATTCA